CAAGCTGCCCAAAACTTGTGTAAATTTTTTAAAAAACAACTGTAGTTTAGGGTTCGCTTCCTTTTTTGCCAGATCTTTGTAATATCTCCCTGCTGTCCGTCTTTTAAAATTGCCACTCTGCCATTCTTTGGCTCTTGTACTTCAGATAACTTTGTAAAAAACGCCTCTCTGCACTTCATTCATTCTTGGTTTCTAGGGTGATGTTTGCTATGTCACTACATAAGCAATTCTTCTCAGAATAGACCTGAAATGGCAGTTACTACCACATATAAACTAGTAGCAAATGCTGCTGTGTGTGCTATGGTTCATTTCCTTTCTATTATGTTGCATTGTTTACGGATTGTTTCTTGCATTGCCCAATCTTTTGTCTGCTAATGTAACGAAAGACCCCCATTGTCATGCGCAAGAGGGCAGAGTTAACGTTGCTGTGGAAACCTTAACTTTGAATTCCTTGACTGGTGGACACTTAAAAAACAAAACAAACCCTGAGCGAATTAGGGCTGCTGGATTTTTAGCTTCCTTCCCCACTCTTTTAATCTAGTCCCCCCATCCCACTTAATAAGGGAATGAAACCTTATGTGCTTTTGAGAGCATAGCGGAGGACTCCTTAGGAAGGGAAACAGAAGCTGGCCCATTAAATGTGTGGCAAAGTGACTCCATTTGGAGCTAACCCATTCCATCTGTTGATCAGATCCACCGCCACCTCAGTTTATGATAATTTGTAGTGCTATCTCTTGCAAGCTGTAGGAGCATGGATGATGATGATGGTGATGATGGTGATGATGATGATGATGATGATGATGGCAGAGATGATGTAGGAATTCAATCTAGGCCTTGCTTGTATCATTTTGTGTACTTTTCATTGCTTAGGCTCTGATTAGGAAAGCAAACGTGAACTACTTGTAGGACATGGTCACAGTTGTCATAGTGAAGGAATGTGGTCTGGGCCCTGGGTGAGACCCTGGTTTATTATGAAGGGCTGGGATGGAAAAACAGCATGAGCCAAACTTGATTTGCATTTTTTACTGCATACAATGAGCATATTTGCATGTTATTCCCTTGGGGGTGTGATATAAGTCAAAAGACACTTGACTGGCACATTCTTATGATCAAATAAGCTGGAATTACTCATCCCAAAAAAGAAAATGCAAGAGTACTGATGAAAATTGAACACTGACATTGTTAACAAAACATTTATTTGGAGCAAACATTTATGAGTGGTAGAAATTGCTCAGTATTCAAGCTCATTTTGGGTAATAGAATCATAAGGTTAGAAGGGATCTTAGAGGTCATCCAGTCCAGATATAAGTCAAAAGACACTTGACTGGCACATTCTTATGATCAAATAAGCTGGAATTACTCATCCCAAAAAAGAAAATGCAAGAGTACTGATGAAAATTGAACACTGACATTGTTAACAAAACATTTATTTGGAGCAAACATTTATGAGTGGTAGAAATTGCTCAGTATTCAAGCTCATTTTGGGTAATAGAATCATAAGGTTAGAAGGGATCTTAGAGGTCATCCAGTCCAGTTGCCTACCCAGTGCAAGGTCCACTCCAGCAGCTCTGACAGATCATCCAGCCTCCATCTCAGTGTTTCTCAACCTTGGCAACTATAAGGTGTGTGGATTCAACTCCCAGATTTCCTCAGCCAGCAGGTTGAGAAACACTGCTTTATCTGAAGACCTACAAGAGAACTCACCACGTCATGTGGCAGCCCATTGGGCTGACAGCTAATATATTCAGGACGTTCTTCTTCTCTTTAATTGCTAAGTATCAAGACAGAAACTGGAGTTAAACAAATGTGGTACATTTAATGGCACAACCAAGTTAGTTGAAGAGCTAGTGGAAACATTTGCACATTGTTTGAAGCTTGGTTAGGGTTGACCTTCCATATATTTTTGTGACATGATGTGCTGTATGAATCTAGCCTATTTCTCCAGTTTATGGTTCATTATGTATTATGTGAATCCAAAATGTAAGCTAACCCAGTTGCCAGATTGTACTGAATGTTTCACAGGCAGCTTTCAAAAAGCAGCTTTCCCCTTATTCCTTCTGCTCAATTTCCTAAAAAGAAGGAAGCTCTCCCCACAACCCCTCAGAGCCAGCAGACATTAGCACTATCTGCATTTTTACACCCTGATGCTAATCTCATGAGATGCTAATTCTTGCGAAGGAAGAATTAACCATGTGAGGGAGAAGCAGCCCCTGGATTAAGTGGGTTGGTGCCTTCTGCGTAATGTCTGTCTGAGGCTTCCCATGAGAAGGGCAGAAATGCTTGATCTGGGATTCCCATCATAAGTGGGCTTCCTGCTGACTTGGTACCAACAGGATCCTGAGCATGTTAGCTGCTGCAGTATGGCCTATGAATAAGTCTTATTTCTGGCCAAATGTTTCTTCTGGTGTTCTATTTTTAGTAGCACAGTTCTCCGTTTGAGCAAATCTTGTGGTTTCTCTGAATGTGCTGTCTTCTCTCTTACCTCTCTATAATTGTAGTAGCAATATAATTGTTAGCAGCAGGAACAAATCAGCATCCGAGTCTACTTTTGTGCAATTTCATCATCTTTTCTTTGGTTTCTCATGTTCTCCTTTGGACCCGAGATATGATTGTGGCCAGTTATTCATGTGGAATGGGTTCTGCCCCATCTTCAGCATGACAGCCCTTAAGATCCTTGAGAACAACTACCGTGCCTTTCTGAGTCTTTTCCTCTCCAGGTTAAGCATACCCAGTGTTTCTAACCTTTCTTCATAATCTCTTCTTTCCAGGCCATTTGTCATTATGGGTGTTCTTCTTTGGACATAGTCCAGTGCCCAGAACTAGACACAATGTTCTAGGTACTCTCTGACGTATGCAGAATGGAGTGGAACAATGATTTCTCGTGATCCTGACACTGTACTTACATTGATGCGGCCTAGGATGGCATTTACTGTTTGCAGCTACATCCCACTGTTGGCTCATATTCAACTTGTGCTCCACCAAAATACCTTGGTTAAACGTCTTCTTGTCCAGTATGGTATCCCATGTCCTATAATCATGCTTTTCCTATCCAAATGAAGGACTTTTCATCTTGCTAGTTTCTGCCTATTGTTCCAGCTTGTCAAGATCCTCCTGAGTCTTGATACTATTCCCATCTATCTTATCCTACCTTTCCAAATTTGATAATCGTATTTCCTCTGCCCTCATCCAAGTCATTGATAAATAAGCTGAACAGCACAGAGCCTAGATGGTCTTAAGCTGACCCAACATTCAGCACAGAGTGCTTAGGAAGTCTAATTCTTCCACACTGAGCTGCCTCCAAAATGGCTCATGAGAGAATATCGAGGGCTGTATATCTTCCCATTTTTTTCTTTTAATTAATAAGGATCACAATAGCATTATCTTGAAAAGATAAATTGGATTGGATCTGGTTAGTGTTTGGATTGGAGACTACCAGGGAATGCCAGGGCTGTAAGCTGCACTGGGAAGTTAAAAAAAAAAAAGACATATTCCTTTTTGCATTTTTGCAGGAGAACAACAGGGATGTGCCAAAGTAAACACCAGGAGTCGTGCTCAGCTCAAGAGAATCTTTATCTTTGCCCTGTAAGAAGTTGGGTCAGGTTCCAGCATCATCTTTTACTGAGCACCTTTTAGAAGGGAAGCCAGATTCGTCAGCAAGAATAAGCAATTACAGGATTCAAGTGAAAACCTACATCCATATTAACTTTTATTTATTATTAAATTAGATTTATATCCCACCTTTAATTTTTAATTTTAATTTTTTTTTACAACTCAGGGCAGCATACATAAAGTTCCCTTCTGTTTTCCCCACAACAACAACCTTGTAAGGTGGGTTGGGCTGAGAGAGGGTGACTGGCTCAGAGTCACCCAGCTGACTTCTGTACCTAAGGGAAGACTAGAGCTCACAGTCTTCCAGTTTCTAGTCCAGCAGCTTAATCATTGCACCAGCCTGGCTTCTCTCTTTTAGAGAGCTAAATTCACATGACACATTCAAGCTGTTATGTGGTTAGTTCAGTTTTGGTTTAGCATATCCTGGTTAGTTAGCCATGGTTTACAGGTTATGGCAAATCTAGTAATTGTGGTTAATTCACTAAAATATAGTTAAGAAACCATGGCGTAGTGGGATGAAAGAATTCAGTCTATATGTTCATCCTCTATACCAGTGTTTCTCAACCTTGGGAACTTTAAGATGCGTGGACTTCAACTCCCAGAATTGCTGGCTGGGAATTCTGGGAGTTGAAGTCCACGCATCTTAAAGTTGCCACAGTTGAGAAACACTGCTTTATACTGAAAACAAGTCTGACAAAAGAGAATGACATTTATTATTCTGAACAGTTATGCATATAGCAGCATCTTAACCATAACAGCTGAAGCTCACTTGTGTGAAATGTCCACTGGAATTTGTGGCATTTCGTTAAGAATACATATGCTTCTTGAGGGTGCAAGAAGGGGAGCTAAAAGAATCATATTGAGAATATGGAAATGTGGTATTATTCCAGATGTCAAGGAATGGTCGTCAGAAATGTGTGATTTATCTCTTTGGAAAAGACAATATTTTCTACTAATAAAAGATGCAGTAAAATGTGTTACTGTGGCAGAGGTGTGATATTTTACAATAATATTTTGTACTGATTATATTATAGTAGTGTATTCATTAGTAAGCCAGTGACTATTGATAAGAATAAAATTTAAAGTAGTTTTTTCCCCTTCATCTTTCTTTCTTAGTTTGTATTTTTAGTTTGTTTGGGGTTGTCTTCTTTCTAAACTTGTTTTTTTTAAGTTTAAAGATTGTTTTGTTAAGTATGCATGTATAAAATAAGTAATGTTAAAAAAATGACGGGGCAAGAAACTGATCTGTGGAATATCTAAAAACATACTTGATCGTGAGCTGGTATCCAAGAACACGAGATATTACGATTATTTGTCAAGTCAGGCCATAGAGACAAACTTCTTATGCACATTGTTAAATTGCCACTATGCCTTTCTTTCCCCCTCCCCAGTTTGCTGAGGAACCTAACGCTAGTAACAGATACTCCAGAGGAGACCTACCTGACTCAAGCTTTCATTTGGAACAAATTTGAAATTATCTTCAACGCTGCTTCTGGCATTATTAATTATGCACCTGTGTTCAAATCCTACTTCTATCAAGGGCTGCTGGAACTCTATGAAGATAATGTGCAGTATGTTGAGCTCAGAGTTCTGCTGCAACAGGTAATGCAGTTTTTTTCCTCCTCCTCCTCCTCCTCCTCCTCCTCCTCCTGCTCCTCCTTCCTCCCTCCTCCTTCGAAAAGGTACTGCTTGGATGCTTCTGGCAGAATTGAGAAAAAAAATGTTGTACTCTTTTCACATATGATTATCAAAATTCAGAAACTACCAGAGAGAGAGAGAGAGAGAGAGAGAGAAAGAGAGAGAGATGGCTCTTACATCACGTATTCACCAGCCTCTGGGAGCAGGGGAAATGTGTATTTCCTGTGTGGTGCCTTTACTTCCAGGAGGCAGTACATAACTGGTTTTGCCTATACTGGGACTCGTCGGACATAGATCTTATTCTGTGGTTTCAACCCCACAGAGTAAGAGTTGGCTACATGCATCCAATGAGTCCATATTTACAATGAAATTGGTCACGTGCTGCCTCCTGGTGATCTCTATAAGCAAGGGGTTTTCTGTGGCTTTCCTGTGAAAGCTTTTTTTCACGTGTTTTAAACTTTTGTGTATTCTTGTTTTGCCCACAGGTGTATGAGCTGGATGGAAGTCTGCATGATAAATTTTGGTCTGTGGCAGCTTATGAAGAAGTGGCTAAACAATTTGTAAAGGATCACCCTGATTTTGTGGGTGCAAAAATTATATATACAACACATCGGTAAGGGATGTCTAGGTAGCTTTGTCAGCAGGGACAGGCCCATACATTTGAATTTAAGAAACTAATATTAATTAGCAAGGTGGAAGGGCACAATTATAGTGGCATTGAAAGACCTGAAGGACCAGCTTGAAGATAGATCCTCCTGGGAAAAAAATCTGTGTGTTTGCTAAGAGCTGACATCAACTTGATGGCACATAATCAATATTAACTAGCAAAAATAAAACCATCTTCATTTTTTTAAAAATAAAACCATCCTTAAGTAATGACTAAAAACCCCAGCATTCTCTTTATAGCTGTCTATCATATGATTATCTAGAGATGTGTTCTCTCCCGGCTCCCACTAGGGTCAGAAAGGGGGTGAGCATTGTGAATCCATAATTCAGGGGTGGAGACCTTGTGGCCCTCCAGACATGGCTGAATTGCAGAGCTGCACCCATGTCGTCATGGCCAATGGCAAGGGAAATTTGGCAACACTAGAGTTACCACTAATTCCCCATCCCTACCATAGCTCTTTTCTGCACAAAAGTTTAAGGCCTACCGGTCTCCTTCCTTCCCTCCAAGCTACTTCTTACGGCCATGGAGTAGAAACTAGATCAGTGCTTCTCAACCTTGGCAACTTTAAGATGCATGGACTTCAACTCCCACAATTCTGGGAGTTGAAGTCCACGCATCTTAAAGTTGCCAAGGTTGAGAAGCACTGAACTAGATCAACTGATACAAAGAGAGCTAAAAGTGATGGAATTTGTGGGCTTGTGGGGGAACGTTAAAGGGAAGGGGCTTGACAGTTCATGGGTACGTGGCTCAGGTAGGATTGAACCTTGTCACCTCTGAGGTTGGGATATAATGAGTTCTGAATCTTCAGATGGATTAACCTAACATATGTTGTAATAGCAGGGAGGAATAACTTGGCTTATTCCAAGCCAATCCTAATTGAGCTTGATATCACAATGAGCATGTAGAAGAATTTCAGACATGAAGTACATGCATGGCACTGTAAAAAGGAATCCTTTCTGGCATGTTTCCCCAATCTGGTACCCTCAAAACTCTTCAGGTATTGTGAGATTTATAGTCTAACACATGGCAAGGGTACCAGCATTGGCAGGGCTGATGTGAGTTAAGTATTTTGTTCCAAATCTTCATTCATTAAAAGGGAGACTGATTAAATATGTAGCCACATCTTAGCTCACAGGTGAGTTTTCTGTCTAGAAAGGCCAAAAACACAAGAGTTAGACCTCTCCCAGGGTGAATGCATTCGTTAGTACACAAGTATAGTCCCGATAACTCTCAGCAGATTAAAAATAAAACGATGTTAGCAGACAATGAATGCCAGAATTGTATCCATATTTGATGGAGGTCAAGCAATTTTTTAAATTAAGAAATATTATTCAATCATGTACTTGTTTTCAGACTGGGGCTGGCTTCTGCTCTCTGCAAGAAAAGAATTGGGGATGTGCAACAATTAAAGGGGGAAAAGGGATTTGGAACATAGGTGAACATGCATGCCACAGAGTGGCATGCTGCTAAATGTTTAAGAATTGGCTCTGCCAACTCCATTGCCACGGTTGCTGCACCACTAACTGCGGAACAGCAGATTGGCACTCTAGGCGTCGAGACTCACCTCTGCTGTCAACCAGCTTGCAAAATGCCAGAAAATTTAACAGTCTGCTCTCATGAGCCGGCTCCAGCACACCACTGATGACACATCTACTGAAACTGCACCTTTTTTTAGCCACGCAATCCCCAGAAAGGATGGGGCACCTTTCAGAAGGTGCTGACAGATCAATTACCCTGCATGAATCCCCCGTTCCCCTTCAAATCCAGATTGCTGCCTGGCCCTAATATTTTTCTTTTTCACTGGTTAAAAAGAGAGATTTACATTTTATACAGATATTCCTGCGAACAGATGGGTTTTCTGCTGCAGATGAGCTATGCTTCCTCCTGCTCGTGCTCTTCGAAGATCATACAGAGCCACTGTGATATCCTAGCTGGATTGGAGGTGGTTGACTTGCGTCCGCCAGATCCATAGAGCTCACTTGGTGACTTTGGGTTGCTCACTGTTTCTCAGCCCAACGAACTTCATAAGGCTGCTGTGGTGAGAATAAAAATTAGGAAAGGTGGTATACTGTATGTATAAGCTGAGATTTTTAGGTGCCAAAATGCACCCCAAAAATTGTATTCAGCTTATCCACAGATGGGCTTATCCACAAGTATATACGGTAATACTTTTTTTTAAACATACCTGTATTTCCCATATATACTCATGTATAAGCCCATCTGTGAATAAGCAGACTCTCGAATTTTTAACCAAAATATCATGAAAAATGCCAGTCAGCTTATCCACAGGTGGCATGTTTTTTCACGGTATTTTGGTTAAAAATTTGAGGGTTGCCTTATCTGTGCATGGGCTTATCCATGAATATATACTGTATAAACATAATAAATAAAATAAAATAAATAAATTCCCTCATTACTTCTTTCTCCAGGTTGTAGGTGAGCTGGTTAGGTATTTATTCTTGTTTTTCAGGCATCATACAAGTTTAACCAAATACTTGCTCAGCACTTTTTAATCAGTACAACAGCAACCACAACTTTTTTCCTTGATGTTGTTCTCCTGCTTTTGTCTTTCAGAAAGCAGAGCATTTCCCGGATTGAAGAAGCTATTCGTACAGCCATGGCACTCAGAACTAAGTTCCCAGATACTGTGGCAGGGTTTGATTTGGTAATTCCTGATATTCCTTACTGGGTTTAATATTTTATCTTAGAAGGACTGCAAGGGGATGAAATACTGGGGAGCTAAAGCATTGAACCTGCAGTCCCATCTAGGAATACCTGCTAGCCCTGTGAGGTAGTCCAGACAAGAAGCACAACTAGGAATACTAGCTCTATCTTTATTGTTAGGTTACATTGGTATTTCTCAACCTTGGCCACTTTAAGATGTGTGGACTTCAACTCCCAGAATTCCCCAGCCAGCCATGCCAGAGGGTCCCTTCTGAAATGTTTCCCATGCCATTCCCCCCTTCTGTGCGCTGATTCATCTTTTACATGCCGGTTGTCCAGTCTACAGCTCTCTCTCCTGTGTCCCACGGTCATTCCCACATACCGTTTCATCACCTTATCGCGCCCCAATTACGCTCCCTGAGCTTTTCGCCATTTCCATCATTTCTTGGAATGTATTTATTATTTCTTTAAAGACTGTTTTTGCATTGTATTTCAATTGATTTTATCTTTTCTGTAAACTGCCCGGAGTCGCTTTTTAACGAGACGGGCAGCGACAAATCTGATATATAAATAAATAAATAAAAATAAAGGAAGGATGCAAGCACCATTACTGCTGAACCTCTAACATAAATCTGGGATGGAATATTATCAGTATAGAGCAATCCTTGTGAATGTTGCCCATGCTGATCAAGTGAGAAACTGAACCATAGCACTCCCATACCTAAGCTCTGTACCTCACCGTTGGGTTGGAGACTACCGCTTCACAACCCATTTCATTTGCCAGCCTTTCCCAACATAATATAAAGCCAACCCTCTTCACCTCTGCTTTGCCTTCACCAGTTGCAGGCCGCCAATGCTTTCAGGTGCTCACTACTGCTATCTGATGAATGTGAAACATGAGCTGGGAGATGGGACATGGCAGGCAGGTAGGTAGTTAGTTTGCCTCCCTGTGAAAGAGCGGGAAGAAAAAGTTAGCTTTTTGAAGTGGGAAGCATCCAGTTGCTTGTCATGGGCCACTGTTGGTTTACAGTTGGTTGATTGCTATTAATGGTGTGGATCTGTTTGAAGGGTGTTTTTTTTTTATGACAATTGGTTATTGATACATTAATAATATATAAGTCCTGAATGCTGATCCAGAGCAATGCTGTTTTCAGGTTGGTTGGGAAGATGGTGGATACTCTCTCTGGGAACTGAAGAAAGCCTTAATTTTGCCAAAAACTCTAGGAAATCATTTGCCGTATTTCTTTCACGCTGGGGAGACAAGTAAGTACAAATACATCACAGTGCACATTTGAAGGACAAGAAGCAGCTAGGAAATTAATTCTGGAAACTTCTATGTAATTACTTCTGAGCTGAACCTTTTGAACACAGTAGTAGGTACTTCTAAGTAAGTATACACTAATATTTGATACTCACTCATCGATGCTGAGATCAGATTGCCACTCCCAGGAATTCTCGCACACTTTTATCTCCAACGTACAGAAGAATATAAGAAAGCCAGTGTGATGCAAAAGACAGGACAAATGGGGGGGGATCCTTGAAGATTGCCACACCTGTTTGGCAACTTTGGGCAAATGATTTTAGTTGAGTCTCATACAGAGTCTTGCTCCATTGATAAAATGGGTATATTTTGTGACTTATTTTGAGTCCTTGAGAACTCCAGACAAATAGTTTGTGAGAATTATTCATGCTTCCCAAAAGGCTTTTCCATACTGCATTAATATTTTGTCTTTCAGAATAGAATTTTGAGAGAGTTGACTTAAATGTATTGGGACCATGATGGCCGTCATTTTGTAAAGATACAATAACTATCTTTTTTTCTATATTACTCAGACTGGGAAGGCATTTCTGTAGATAAAAATGTGTTGGATGCTCTGCTATTGAACACCAGCCGGATTGGTCATGGATTTGCCCTTGCCAAGCATTCAGAAGCTAGGAGGTTGGCATTGAAGGAGAATATTCCTGTAGAAGTCTGTCCTATTTCTAACCAGGTATTGTTCACATAGAAGAGAGATGAGCATTGCTCTGGAATCTTCTGGGGTGGGGCAGGAAAGGGGAATAATTTATTATTTCCAATCCTCTACAGGTCTCATAGGCTGCTATAGAAAATGAAAACACCAGGTTTTATTTGGGAATATGCCTATCAGCCCAGGAGGAAAAAAAGATAAAAGTTGGGGAGCATCCTGGGTGTTAGGTTAGATGTGATGACAGAGAACTATAGGGAAAATCTGGAGTTAACTCTGGTTGGGGCCCCTACTTAGCAGAGTGTATGTGTGCAAATAGCCCATTAAGAGTGTTTAGAGACAAATGATTGAAGTCTAAAGAAGAAGTTAACTTTAATAAGAAAATTGTACGGGTAGAAACACTATCTCTGAGCTTTCTATCTACATGGTGGAATGCAGAAACAAGAAGAAAATACACTATAGCGAGCAGGTTGAAGAGTAGAGTATCAGTCTTTCAATCACGGGAGAGTAGATTAGAGCTAGAAAGAAAATACTGTCCCACCCTTTCCATGCTATCTCTGTTTATAATGCCCCTAGTAGTCAGGAGGATAAAAGGTGCAAAGAGTCATAGTTTCTGGAGCTGCATTGTGATGACTGGAAGCAAAGAGCCTGAAACCAGACAGGACTATCATCAAAACATGGTGCAGATATTCTCCACATTCAGGGATGGGAGAAAGAGAAGTAAGATTTAAACCCTGGGGCTGTTATATATAATGGATTTGATTGCCAGATTCTGCAGGAGCTGATCTTCTTTATTGGTAGGGCTTCTTGTATCTGCAATGAGAACAAGTTATCTAAATCTATATTGGTTTACATTGAATTATATTTTATCCCTTTGCCTGTACTGCTCTTAGACATAAGCACACACCAAATAAAAACACTACAACTACTACTGTACTACTATCCAAGCCTTGTCCTACTACTACTACTGTACTACTATCCTGTCTTATCCACTGCTAACTTCTGAGTGCAGTCCAAGTTTCCAAAGAAAGATGTATTGCCATGTGCTGAGTGCATCTCTGATAGCAAGATCAACTACCCTACTCCAAGCTCATGGGAAGAAAAAATGTACTCAGGAGTGCAGAGTAAAATCACAGCTACCAACCCTCTTGCAAATCTGTTGCCCTCATTAGTCACTGAGTTAACAAGTCCATCTAGGTTGCCAAGTGGCTATGATATAGAGCATGACATTGGCAACCTAGATGGATCTGTTAACTCAGTGAATCACTATCCCAGCAAGTGGGGCAGAATTTACTTCTGCCAGAGGCTCTTGTGGACACCCAACATCGAGTAGTCATAGTGGCAGCAGTAGCAGTTCTCTAATGCCAAACAAATGCCTCTGTGCCTGATGGATACAATGGGAATACCGGCAGATTTGCTAACTTCCTCACTCTGTGTGATTTATAGGTACCTCTAAGACCTCAGAATTTCTCCACAGACCAATTGCTCTCTTGACAGAGGGAGCTTGTGAGAGGAAGGATGCATGGTGAAGTTAGTGCTTCTGCTCCTCCCTCTCCGGTTCCCTTTTAAGAGCTTTTCCATTATTTGGCATACCAGCCAAGCAGGTACAGCTGAAGAGTAAAAGGTGGCACAGAAGGGAAGAAGTGGTGAGGTGGGACTGAGAAGAGAAGATATGAAGATGAAACAAATGCAGTAAAGAGGAAGGACAATTGAGAAGAAGAGAAAGAAAAGAGCCCAGGAAGCCTGAAATATCTATCCAAGACTTGTTGATTCACCAGGAGTTGATTCCTGAATGCTGGTTGAGTTTCTGGAGAGAGGTTTATTGCTGTACCCTGCTTGAAGCTCTGAAAAACATCTCCAATAAGAATAACCTCACTATTTACCTTCTAGTAAAATAGGTATTTAGTTGCTGGCCATATCCAAATGGCAGCTCTTTTGTGCATCAGCAAGCCCTCCCTATGACAGTGATTTTGTGTACATCCAGATATGTTCTCAGAATTCTGAATGTTCCCTTGTACCAATGGCCTGACAATCAAATGCAGGTTTTACCTAAAATGGCGATAACTCTTTGCTCATGTGTTCCTCTTCTTCAAGGTCCTGATGCTAGTATTGGATCTGAGAAACCATCCTGCTGCTTTTCTGCTGTCAGAGGGTCAACAGGTAGTGGTTGCTTCTGACGATCCATCCATCTTTGGAGCAAAGGGATTATCCTATGACTTCTATGAGATCTTTATGGGTGTAGGAGGAATGAGTGCCGATTTGAAAACTTTGAAGCAACTGGTGCTAAACTCTTTAAAGTAAGTGCATCTCTCTTATATGCTGATATTTATGGACAAAAAAGGCTGTGTAGGTGCAAACCTATGTCCAAGCAGTCAGGGCAATAGTAGGGACAATTTCTGGAGCCAGCTGGACTTTTCACATATATCACCACCCCAGTTTATACCAGCAATGAATTTAGAGTCAACAAAATTTGGATAGGAAATCCAAATATGAAACTACATTTATCCTGCCATAACATGTTCTCTTTGCAACAAAAAAATGAAAATACACACCTTGCTAAATGCTAAAAAAAAAATTAGGGATTTGATGTGCAACCAGGTGGAGTCTTCTGCACAAGCATGCACACTAGAAAGAAATTCTACAAATGCTACAGATTCTCCCTTTGTCTATTTATTCTGCCCATCACCTTCTTCCTAAGGGTGCCAGTCCTATTAAAAGTCCTACTAAACTCAGTAAGGTTTATTTTTATTAGATCTGCCAAAGCAGAATGGTGCATATCTTCTATCCCTCCGTCTCTCTCCTGTTGGTGCCATATCTGCCTCTGCTCCTCACTCTCTGAAATGTCTGCATGAGAGAGTTGAGCAACAGGCTTTGAGAGCTACAGGTGCTAGTGAATAGACAGGCAGGAATAGGACCAACGTGTGGCGTAGCTAACTTTAGCAACAACAATACCTAAACTAAACAAGCTGTTCATTCCTGCTGCATGACAGGGCTGATTCTGAATTAATTATAATTATTGTTAAGCCAAGATAAGAAATAAAGCAATCACATAATTACAGAAGAAACGCCATTTTCGTGTTTTGTGGAAATTTGGAATGGCAGTGACGATGGATAACATCTGTGAGCATGAAGGCATTGTTTGAAGGAAGACATTGGTGTTTGGGGGAATACTGAGAAATTTTCTGGAATTTCTAAAAGTTAGCATTAGATTCAAGTGTAAGGGGAAAATCCATCAAATATACATTCTGAAAGTGTGTAAATTGAATCTACTTACCATAACACAGCAAAGCTGAGAATTTTGAAGTGTGTAATCATGTGATGTCCTCAGACTTTTTTTTTCATCCTAAACCTTCTCTGATCATGCTATCAAACTTCAGCCTCTGATTTCCTTCCATTTTGAGGCATGAAAGACAAAGAAAACAGTAGTGTAAATCTTAAAATAAGCTTACCACAATTAAAGGGAGAAATAATTCCAGAAATGTTTGGCCTTGGCAATATACTCTGAGAATAAGCCTTGCTGAGTTTAGTGGGAGTCAACTTCTGAGTAATTTCATTAGCAAAAAGATTTCATTAGCAGAAAGGAAAATATATCTCTGGAAAATGCAACGTTTTGATTTGTCCTGTATTGTAGGACTTCCTAATCTCTTTCTTAAAACATCTCTTAAAACATCTCCCTGTCTTTGTAAACTGTGGTGCAATCACTTTCAACTCCAAGCAATCATAGTCATAAAGAATCTGTGTAGAACATGATGATTAAAGATACAGCTTGTGGAAAGACCTTTATATACTTGCAGTCCTATGCATCTTTATGGGCAGTAAATATAAGTGACTCAGTAGGACACTAAGGGTGATAGGCATACAGTTGAGTGGCATGAGTACAATTTATCATTTAGAATTCCTGAAGCCAACACTTATTCAAGTAAAGACTGGCAATGAACTGGGGCATTGCTCTCTATTCCTCCTAAATTCTGTTTACCTAAAGTTGCATGAATCCTTAACATGCCAACCTTCAATCTTGAAGCCAAAGGATTTTTTAACATTCTATGGCCTCCATCTGGCACTCTCCTGTTGTTGTTCAGCAGAAGCAGTGGAGTGAATTGGACTCAGCAAAGCCATCTAAGGAATCCTGACTTAGTGCCCTCAGGCTGCTGGACACTAGCCTCAAGCACAGCATCACAAATCTGATCCAGTCCTGGACACAGTAGTACAACAATGTCAACTCCATCAGCTTTTCTTCCTCTGACTCTGGGCTTGAGGCTGGGGCCAGGACAGCTACTATATTAAGAACTTTTGCTGAGTTATAAAGCTATCCATACCCTTGAGTCAGGGGAAAAAAAATGTTGGCATTTGTTGTCTCATTACCTATCCATGTCTTGCTTCTTTACCTTTTTCCCAGTTGCAAAAGACACCTGACTTCCCTCCAAAGATAGTGGGTGACAAATTCTAACAGATTTGACTCACTCAGGCAGCATTGGAATAAGGGGGGAAATCTACTTTAACAGTGGTACAGTTAAGGATGACTTCAGCCTTCCTCACTCCCAGGACTGGGGACAAGATCAAGGCAATGTCATGAGTACAGGGCAGAAAAAAGATGTTGCTGGCTATGTTGGCACCACCATTAAGTGCAAGTGAGAATGTGGCTTTAACATGGTTAATTGGGAAGCAAGCCATATACATTCAGTATTTTCTACTTGAATAAAAGTGGGTTGAATTTTAAGATTATGACTTTGGGGGGCAGGAGGGAGGAGGGCTGCCTGCAATCAGTTCTTAAATAATATCTTGTTATCGTTGACTCTTTTCCCTTTGTAGATACAGTAGTATGCAACCTGATGAGAAGGACAGGGCCTTGAAGATTTGGCAAAAAAAGTGGGACCACTTCATAGCTCAGTTCGGCAGCTTCTTTCCAAAGGGCTGCTAGAAATAGGCCATGGTACAGGTACTATACAAAATCTTGCTTCTCCCAGCTACTTTGATCAGATCATTGCTCCTTTAACAATCTTGCAAATGATAAAAATAATTGAAATCAGAATGTACTCCATAATGGTAGAGTTTGTTGTATTGAGATTGAATAGAAGTAGTGATCTTTTCCCCTTTAATAGTGGAAGGTTTTCTGATTTTTTGGTTATATTGGTAGCTGTTGTTGTATAAAAATACAACAAAATGTTGTTTGTTGTGGAAAAATAGGAAGCAGGAGTATTAAGTACAGTATGTTTGCCACCTTGGATTGACCAATTATTTATTTTAAAAAAAGGCAGGATAAAAATATAATAATAATTATTATTAATAATAATAATACCACATCTACCTATCCCAGATCCTTGGGAAGGATTTGATAGGTGGATAAAAATGCCAAATTCAGTCTAAATATCTGGCTGACTGTGAAACCAACCATAATAATAATATTGATTTGATTCTTTTTTATTAAATTGTGCTGTATGTTGCTCAGAGTGGTTCGTGACTGGAACAGCCCATAAGCCCAATAAAATAAATAAAGGAATGAATGAATGAATGATTGATTGATTGATTGATTGATTGATTACCTGTAGATACTTAACACAGATTAGAGTTCTTGGCTCTAATTGTAACAATTGCTCATGATTACTTTTCTTCATCAAACTTGTATCATATGAACTATCAGAAGAGAAACAAATACCTGCCTTTTAGGTTAGAAAAATATAGAAATACAATTAAATACCTTCACATCTCATTTATTTATTTATTTAATTTCTATAGCCATCCATCTCAACCAAGTGACTCTGGGCAGGGAATGATTCTAAAACAATAAAAACAGTTAAAAACAATACAAAAATAAATATATACAGCAGCTGAGAAAATTATAATAATTATCAATAATATAATTAAAAAGCCAATGTTTAAAACAAATTGTAGCCTAATTTTAAAACATATAGCAGAGGTGAGAACCTTGTTGACTTTCAGATAACCAGTGATGAGGGATGTTTGGAATTTAGTTCAGAAACATCTGAAGGATCACACATTTCAGTTATGCAGATGTAATATTATTTATTGAATTTATATATTCCATTTCATACAAAACTAAAGTGATTTACAAAATTATAATAAAGTGGAATGTAGTAACATTATAGATACTACTAACTAACAATATTTCTACTGGGACACAACACCATCAGGATAAAGCAAAAAGCTGAGTTTTTTAGCCACTCAAGTCAATCAATTAATATACTAGCTGTACTATATATTGAGTTAGAAACTGATATTAGAGTTGAATATGAATTATGTTTTATCTTTTCCCCATAATTACCAGCAATACAACAAATTATAAAATGTTTTCTTAATTTATTAGTTGCCAAATTCAAGATTTTTCTCCCTGGCACATGTATGTATATATGCTTGGTGACTGTGAGAAGGGTTGATCTCTGATTAATATCTTCTTCAATTCATCATTGGAATTTTATTTGACTAATCAGATTTGATTTTCACTATAAGTACATGAATAAAGCACATTTTCTCTGGAGGAAAAAATATTTGTAGACAATGATTGCATATTTTGTAGTACATACTTTGTCAAGAGGCATGCTTTTTTGTGTGTATCAGAGATGAATGCTATTCTTGTGGTACCTGTTTATAATTTTTTTGTATATTTATTTTAAAACTTCCTTTGATAAAATGCTGATGATCACTTATGAACATATTAATCATATAATGGGGTGTATATGAATCTTACCTTACTCCAATAAATATTTATATCATATACTGTGCTGAAGTTAATTTTCTCCATGCAGTAATAAGAAATTGACAAATGAATTAAATGTGTCTTTAAGAAAGATTGTGGCCTCATAATCAAGTAAACAGAGCTGTTTCTGTGTTATATTTCAGTTGGTGAAGTGGAAGTATTGATGATTAAACATAAATGTGCTGACTGAATAATCTCTATCTTTAGTGTGGTTACATGTAATTCTGTAGTGTTTTATTTGAGCTCCAGTCCAAAACCTTGCTAAAGTAAAATCTATTAAAATGCTAAAGATCAGCCTAACCTAAGTTCACTTGAAGCATAAGTGGAAGCTGAATGACCCAGGAGTGAAGAGATGATGGTAAATCTGGGTTTATATAACACTAATTGATGAGTTAATGAAAACATGGTTTATTGAACTAACCCAACTGTCTAGATTTGCAGAACACACTGAATCATAAACTAACCTTGATTGCTGGATTTACATAACATGCTGAGCCAAAAATTACTTTTATATTTTGGAACAAAAAAGAGGCTTTTACCTGGTATAAACATGCTAATCCATGATTTGCTCAGTGATGGTTTATTAAATAGATCACTTTTGATTAGATTAACAGAATATGCTAAACAATAAACATGATTTCATACACCCTAATGGTTAGATTTTGCCAAGAACAACCAAAAAACACGGTGGCATAGATAGAATAATCCTCCAATGTTCTCTAAGTCCAAGATCTCAGTACTAGCTCAGAATCCATGTAATGACAAGTTTTCCTTCTTTTATTTATCATTACAAAATTACACCTGTGAATCATGCTTCAGCCTGAAAATTGACTGTCAGAATACATTTCTAATGCTGCTTCCCTGAAAACAGCAATATGTGTCATAGTGATAACTGTAACGTGCAGTGATTATTACACATATAATCCCCCTTTCAAAACATTGTTCATTACAACCAATCATAGTCTAGTATGCAAATAAGCCAGACAGGTCAGGAAGAGGAACAACTAATTCATGTCTTATAGTAGCATGGAAGAGAAAATTGAACTAGACCAAAAGGTAAGTTGGAGTCATAGTTTCAGTAGTGGTAAGGGAAGGACTTGGAATTATAGGCAAAGCCCAGCTGAAAATTAGATTGAGTAGACTAGATAAACCATAGTAAGATACTTTTCAGTATGCTCTTTAGGTCTGAGCAGCTTGTATCCCCAAACCTCCTTGTGGTTCTATATCCCCAACTTCCTTGATCTCTGCCTATGATGACTGTAACTGATGGGAATTGGAGGTATATTAATTTCATACTTTGCTTGAGGTTACAATAGTTCTTAAATTATTGTCTAACATTCATAAGCAATATAGACTCAAGTTCCCTAGGACAAGGAATATTAAATATTGTTACTGCCAGATTCCTCAAAACTTTATCTTAGATAAGGTAAAGACCATTTTGTCATAAGAAAACTACTGTCTGATCTAATCTGCCAGCCTAAACCTCCAGCTTGCTAGCAAAAGGTGAGCATCCTGATTTACAGACCCTCAGGATCTATTATATCTGTGAGGGTCCTCCAGTTTGCTATTGTGGATATTAAGATCTTCTGCTGATTTTATACCATAGTTGCTTAAAATGAGATCCCAGAACAGAAGTCTTAATCTTCAAATTGAGAAAAGATAAATAACTCTACACATGAAGAGAGAAGCCTCACAAGGGCTAAGCGTGGCCCCCGATCTGAAAAAAAAAAAATGCAAATCCCCATTCTGCATATCTTTGCACATGTAGTTCTTGTGGAGAGCCGCAGGACAAGTAGCCACTACTTTATCCCATTTACACTATGGGAATCTGACTTTGCAGATGTAAAATCACAAGTGATTGTTTGAAATGACCTTCTGACCCAGGGAAGCATTGCTTCATTTAGATTTTGATAGCAATATTTTGTGTCCTCTCCTAGCCTTGTCTCCTCAAGATGCTTTAGTTTTATGCTTTATTGCTATTCCTGCCTCTTCAAGATGGTTTATCCCTAATTTTAGAGCTCAGCAGGGTTGATGGTTATATTGTCAAGTGCCCTGCGGCGCTTTGCCAACCATATTGTGTTAACCCACTCTACCGCGAGAGCAGTGATCGCTTGACTGCATATCTTCTTGACTATGTTTTCAAAATTGATACCTTGCCTTACTGGGGCAGCTTATTTTGATAATAAATAAATGCAGTTTCCTTTGCCCAGCGTTATAAGTAGGCTGTTCTGAGGCCAGGTTTCGCAGTGAATATGATTTGTGTGAGCTCCTTCAAATGAAATCTTCCTGCAGAGAATGATGTTCCTTCGCTCAATGGCTCTGACCTCCATTACCAAGGAAGTTGAACTCTATATTAGTCATGGGGAGAAATGAGAATGAAATTGGTCTGACCCTGAAAGTACAGTAGGGTCTGTTCCCTGCAACATCAAAGAAGTAATTCCAGAACAATATTTTGAGAGAACCTAAGGAGAGCTGCCCCATGCCAGTTTCATTTTTCTATATTGATGTAATCCATAGGCAGTAAATGCTCTAGGTAGTGTGTCCTGAATGGACTGCTTCTGTAACAAGGAGGTATGCATCTTAAACTCTGATCTCCTCAAGCTTTAATTAATTAATTAATTAAATTTGTATAGCCTAGTTTGGAGGCCTGGAATTGTGGAAGTATTGATAAAAGATTTCCTTTTCCATTACTGTACTTAATTTTTGGCAACAAAGGTAGGGATTTGGAAAACATGTAGAATGAAAACAGTAAATTAAAAAAAAAAAGTTAAAAAAATAGAATACTGGAAAAGAATTCTAGTTTACTCTGTAGACTTTTACTCTTCATCTATACCATTTAAGACTGGCAATGCTTTAGACAAGAAATTATTTTGGGGGGTTTCTATAACTTTACAAACACCATTCAATTAAATGTTTACAGTGGAACACGTGTCAGGCACAGTTATACATTTCCAATTATCTTGGATTTAAAAGGCAAAATTACAGCGTAAGGATGTATGCTGTAAATCCCATTAGTTTCAGCAGAGTTTATTATGTCATACACATAGTGAAGCCCACTGAATTCAGAGGGACTTTTATCTGAGTACAGATGGAGAATCGCATTGCAAAGCACTTTATTTACTAGGATGTTCAAAAGGCTTAACTTTGTATAGAACCTTGCTTACAGCAATTGAAATTTATTGTAAATTTCTTTTGAGCTCCTGCTTTGGCAGTAACATAGGACATTTATTGTAAACATGAATAATACATATAATTTTAATTTTTAAAATTAATAAAATGATTTTGTCATTAAGAAGTTGTATGTTTGCTGCTAGCTCTCTTTTCCATTTTCCGGACAGGTACCTTTTCAATAATATCATCAGTTGTTCCTCTTTAGCATTCACTATTTTGTTCTTTAACTCTGTCCATGTGGTTGTTAAGAGCCAACACCAAGTTGGCGACACATCATCAATTTAGTTCTTTACGTGAAAGGTCAATGGTTTGTTCTTGAGA